GCCATCGTCCACCTCTTGGGCAACCATTGTAGCTCTAAATGTTATAAAATATTTTATCATAGTTTAATTATTTGCTCAGAGGCATTTGAAGTACCATGACTCGGAGCACAAAAAAGTGCTACGTTTGATATAAAATATCTAAACAAAAAAATTTTACACAACATTAATTTTTTTTCTGCATATTACCAATTATAAGAACTACATCTGTTGCTAATTTTATTGCCCTAGCGCTTGTCATTAAAAACTTATTTGTGCTGAAAAATGACAATTTTAGGGCAATATTTGGAGGGATGAAAAAAACAAAGTAGTGCAAATACCGAAAAAGTGTATCGTTACATTCTGCTCCGACATCATCTTAACAAAACTGATATATTGGAATCGTGTTATCTTTAATGGATCGTTCATAAAACATGAACTAGCGGAGCAAGTGAGGGTCCGCGCCATCATATTCGCAACGCTACAAACGCGCATGAACAGTAAAAACCAACACATACATAATATCAAATGAAAGAGGATTGCCTTGCCTTTCGAATGACATCAATCCCACAAAAGAGTATTCAAAAGGAGATGAGTAATGACCTGCCGAAAAGTACCTAAACTGCCACATTCAGTGGGACCGTGGCCTTAAACGTTTAGTTTCTTCAGTTATCATTGGCCTCGTCAATTGTCATTCGTGACAATACAACCTAGAACTTGGTCGGCCTCAACGGGCGACAAGTCTTCTAGACGTAGATGAGAAAGTTAACCAGTGCAGTACAACCGCTAGCCTGGGGTTTTTAACGTGCATCACGCAGTAAGTAGTGTTACACGACGGCACACCAGTACGATGCTCATCCAGATCGAAAGGGACAGGGGTAGATATTGAACCCAGAATCCTGGGGTTCTGCAGCGCGAGCTTTCGCTCCACGTGCTCCGCGCTGGTGTGCCGATCCCCCAAACAAACGGGCAAGCAGATCAGGTAGTGTGGGAAACGGAGAAAACTTTCTTCTTGAAGCTTACGGAAGAAGCAGTTCAGTGAAGAATCGCCAGGTTCTTGTTCCGGCACCATACGACGTCTCATCTTCCACGAAGAAAACACCCGCCGAAGCAATGTTCGGCGGACGAAGGGCCTCACCCCTCGATCTCATGACGCTATGGCCTACGAGCGAAGATCGAGGGATACCCAGATAGGGAGCAGTGGCAGAGTATTCGATCAGACAACTCGACTACGTGAGTAATTTCAGCGAAAGTCCGGCCTGTCTGCCAGCGGTAATCGTGAAGCCGATGGGTTCAATCATTCCCGCCATGCCCGAATGACGGAAGACTTCAGCGTCAACAACTTGGACCACATCCACCGTCGACAAGAAACAGACGAGCTCCGGACATGGAAGAGGAAACACCTTCCTTCATAAGGTACCCGAACGCCGAGACCGCCAACGAACCTTAAAATCGGAAAACACGGAGACGAAAGAACCACCACGGAAAACACCGTGGACGGCCCAACAAGCTCAGATTGAAGGACTAGATGCGGTTGCAGCATCAAGCAACCAGCCCTTCTGCAAGACTATGTGCTGGGTTTTAACCCAGAAGGCAGGGAACTGTTGTTTACCAGGGGCTTCAGACTCCCTCAACCTACGATACAGCGTGCATCTCCCTGCGCCGTTTTGTTAGGTAACCGGAGTGTGTGAGGAAAAAAAAAGCTCGAGGCACACTTAAGCATTTCTTATGAGTTGTGAATGCGAAAGCATGCAAGCCGCTCGTCCGCTCCCTTTGTCGTCTGCTAGTCCGCTCCCCTTGTCTTCTACTGCGTATACACTAGCACACGCGCGCTTCGGGATCTCGGAGGCCATGGCGCAGCGGCCAATGGGAGCCCCAACAACGCGCACCAGCCAATGGAACCGAAGGCGAATCGCTCCTATTGGGATCGCGGCGGAAACTAGGAACCGTTTTCGCGCTTCAAACTGATGACGTCAGTTGACTCTATGAGACAGTGAATGCTTTCGCATAAATAAACGAAGGACTCACCGCCCCGCGTTTTTTCCTGCCCGCGCAGCCTTGTCTCCAGCCACAGGTCATAAACTCATGGTTCGTACTCGCCTTTTTCGCGAGGACCGAGGGCATCGGAAATACAGTCCCAGTCTCGATATTTCACACTGTAAACTATGGGGCCGCTTTCTTGTTACTGCTCTTTCAATTCCTCTTGATTTTATTAGCCTGGTTTTCGTCTCGTCTCTTCCTGGCATCAAGGATGTAACTGGGTTCTCTTAGTGGCACGCCTCGGGGTTCTCGAGGATCTACAATTTATGGCAGCATGCATTCCATGTAAAACTTGAGTAGAAAAGGTTCCATGTTGCTTGACTACAAGGCGTCATCCCTCTGAATACGTTGGGGGATCTCTCCGCTTCCCCTTCCCAAAAGAGGTCTGCTGGGTTCCGCTGGCACGAAATAAATGTTGGGAACTGAAAGCCTGCACACCACTGTCCTCGTCCCTCCCTTTTGTTTAGCTTCTATTGTATCAGGACGAATTAAAGCGCTCTGGTGATGTTATAAAATTTAACGGAAAGCAAAAAGAATAAAAAATCTTTCCATCCGGCTGCATACACATTTATGAACAACCTGCGACAAAGGCAACAGTTGCAGTAGTGGCCTGAGTGAAGAAAGATGACAGGGCAGTAAGCAAGGGAAAGGGAGGGGAAGGTGAAAAGGAAGCGACCCAGAAGACAGGAAACTTAGCGCATTCCCAACTTTCTTGGACATCACCGTCTCGCGGATGTCCAACAAGTAAACAACGACAAAATTCACAATGTTCCCCAGGAATATTTTAGATGACAGTCATAAAGTTCTATGAAGTAGTAATTGAACTTTTAAACACGCAGTTTTTTTGTTTTTTTTTCACGGCTCTACAGTTTCTTTTCAAAATTATCAATTTCTGTTTTTCTGGACAAAAGATCCTAATGTTCATGAGGACTTACAAGGGCAAGTACTTATATTGAAGACTTGATCCCCTTCTACACAAGTTTCGTATGGTAGTTTCGGCGCACAGCGAACTCTTCCCCCGCCACTGAGCGCGCGGCAAGGTTGACTGAGACAGTTCCAAACATAAAGGCAGGTAAAGGTATACGTGAGCACAGTTCGGCGACAGGCTATCTTAGCAAACATTCAGAATTTGCTCCACGAGTTTGAGGAATAAAAGAAAAAAATTATGCTTATAGAGTTAATATAATGTACGCTACAGGTTCAACTGGCGCTGGTGTCTATGCGACTTTTGGGGTGCAAATTGAAGCAGATAGCAACCAGTATAATTTTGCGGTGCTCTTGTGCATTTCTATCGGAAAACGCGCGTGCATTTTGTCTCTTCGCCGAAAAAAAAATTAATTAGGTAATTTTTGGCATTTGGGTCGTACCGAATAGTATCCACCTTTATTAACATTGCAGAAGTGTAGTTGCTTTAGTTGCAACGTTTTTATTTATTTATTTTTTTCTTAATCATGGAACGATTTTCAACTTCGCTATATTCCAGACCCAAACCTCTGTTCCCGTGGGAACCGCTGCTTCTTGGCGTTCAGAGATATCGATCCGTCTTGAGCAAAACCCGACACTTTTATTTTGAACTACACACACTCGTTCCAAAAAGAAGGGTCACTGTCTCGTACTCCGCTCGCTTTCATTCCAGCTTTCGTTCTGTCCGTCTTGACTTTCCCGGCTGTTGATCTCCTCGGCTGCATCCGGCCGCTGCGGTACGAAGTTCGGCTCGGCCCTCGCGCGCGATCGTCTCCGCAGAGGGGTCATTCCATGTCAAACGTCCCAGACGTTGCGCTCAACCCCTTCCGATTAAAAAAAAAAAAAATCATGGCCCATTGCCGCAATGTCTCTAGCCATGCCCTGAAATATTTTTGCCGAAAACTTTTTTTGATGATGTGAGCGCGGTTTTTACTTTTAAAAGCAGCGTGAAACTAGGCATCACTCAATAATTGATCAAAATCAGCATTTTAGTGAAAAACCAAACAATATTTCTTCTTAAATTTGCACGGCTTTCGACTTGCAATGTGGTTGGGCTTGTAAAGTTTTGTTTAAATTAAATATTAAAAAAAAAAACTTAAAAAATTAAAAAAAAATTTAACATTTTTTATTAAAAATATATAATTGCTACCGGAACTTAATATAACTTTTTACCGGCTGCCCTGCAGGTATATAATCTATAAAAAAAAATGTGTAAAACCGCTCAATTAATTATGTCGCAGTAAACAACAATCCTGAAGTTGCAAAAAAGTGCGTTTTGACGCCTAAACAGCCGTTTATTTCACCCTAAGGTGGTCCAAGTAAAAATACAAATTATAGTGGGTTTGGAAGAACAACCGAAAATCTTTTGATTCTGAAATTTTAATCAAAGCAATCAAAGCTTTATTGTTTGCGTTCGAATGTTTCTTTAACCGATCGTAAAGATGCACGACTGAGTCATTTTCGTCCAATGACAGGACGGGCATATTAGCAATATATAAGCACCACTGAGATGCTAGCAAACCTTGAACACACGCTACATTCCTTTCGATCGTTAGTTTGCTTAGAATCGTTGCTCGCTTTCACATACCTTCCTTGAAACAGAGGTTTGGGCCTGAAATGGAGCGAAGTTTAACATCGTTCAGTGACAAAGAAAAATGTTGTAACTAAAGCAATTACACTTTCACAATGCCAATAAAGGTACATACTATCCGGTACAACCGAAATGACAAAAGGTATTTATGTTATTTTCCGGCGAAGAGACAAGAGGCTCGAAATGTAGGCTGCATGCTGTCTGCTTCAATTTGCAACCGGAAGTCCCGTAGACACTAGCGCCAGCTGAGCCTCTAGCGTTTATTGTAATAACTCTATGTTCGGAGCCCAAAAATGTTCGTTTATAACAACGTTGGTTTATAATCAAAGTGTAACAACTACCGATATTCATAAACCGAAAATGCAGTGCAAAATGGTCTTCAGTCTCTAGATTGCAGCGTCACCTGTTCTGCAACTAGCGCCCCCATAAGAGATGAAACAAGTTACAGTATGGGCTAGGCCTGACATCGTGTGTTGCATCTGGCCTGCTGCTAAAATTGTGTTGTCATTCTTTCTCGGCATCAAGCGTGATTTTATAGACAGTCAAGTTTAAATCATGGGCACTGCACGTTACGATCGGGCAATCACTGTGTTTTCTCCCGATGGACATCTTTTCCAAGTTGAATACGCTCAGGAAGCGGTAAAGAAAGGATCAACGGCAGTAAGTATCGCGCCTTTCTTGTCCTGTATCCGCATAACGTCTGTGTATCTTAAAAGTTACAGGCAACAACTTTTAGATATATTGCGTTGTTAAGTGTTCATATAGTGTCAGTAGCTGTTTGGTCGCTTAGCGCCTGCTTCCCCTTTCAGAAGCCTTAAAGTGCAACTCATACCGGCGGAGCCCGTCTTTTCCTGATGCTCAAGTCGGGTGCTGTAGTAAAGTAAGACTGTCGATTATTCTTTCAGGTGGGCATAAAGGGAGCAAACATTGTTGTCCTAGCCGTGGAAAAGAAGTCCGTGGCCAAGCTCCAAGAGGAACGGACGGTCCGGAAGATATGTCTCTTGGATGACCACGTAGTGATGGCATTCGCCGGTGAGTTTTCTGATCACTAGGTACATCTTTGTTTGCCAAGTTCACGCCGATTTCTTCTTCTCTCAGGCCTTACTGCCGATGCAAGAATACTCATTGACAGAGCCAGAGTGGAGTGTCAGAGCCACAAACTGACGGTGGAAGACCCCGTTACGCTGGAGTACATCACTCGTTACATTGCTCAGCTGAAACAGGTGAGCTGCAGCCATCGGCTGAACTGTTCATATGCTTCCCTGATTTAGCGAAGGTCTTTCATAACTATTTTCCCGCTGTTGTAAACTATATTAATTGTATTAAAGGGGCCCTGCAAGGAATTTTTTACTGGTTTTTAATTTGGACTGAACAACTTAATGAAACTTTTCTCGAATTTCGCTTTATTTTAAAAGTTACGGGCAAATTAAAATGACAAAAACAAGCAAAAAATAACCTCCTTCATGACGTCCTTGGTTGCTTGAGTGGCCATGAACTAGAGGAGAGGTAGTGAGCTCAGCGAGCGGTCACGGCTGCCGCACTCTGTGTGGACGGCTCGAGAGGGCACCACGAAAGCATGTTCTGGCTAGGCTCTATGAAGCGGGCAGCCAGGGCGGTTTGCATTGCATTTGCTGCGCGATTAAACACTACAGTGCAATCCACTTATAACGATACCACTTATATATACTACTTATAACGATCAGTTTATAGAGTTTCTAGACTAGAAACGACAAGTCCAGGTACAATGATAATCGGTTATAACGATTGCATTTTCGCGTTTTCTCATTATTGTATAGGTGGATCGTACTGTAATTCGGCATGACACTTCATTGGCCACAAACGACAGCAAACACGGGATAAAGATCAGTTCAGAACGGGAGTCACTTCGCGCTGCCATACCGCCAAAAGGCTAAACCGCAAGCCAAAGCTGCTCGCCGAAGGCCTTGGGAACGCTTGGAACCGGTCTGATTCTCCAGTCCATACTACCGCAGCGCCGCCGCGTACATCCGGGACCTTTCTACGCTCGCCGCTCGTTCGTGCCTGATCCCACTACACCTTTCTAGTATGCGCCGCTTTTTCCACCACTTGGTGGCGGGTATGTCGACGGGTCATTTCTTGTTTCCATACTTTCTAAACTACATTTGTTTCTTTTCTGATCTAAAGTAGTGAACAAAAACCACTTTTATAAATAACTGAAACGGTTTGCGCCACTTATATTTTGTATTTCGACTGAAAAGAAGCTTTTAGCGGCTCTGACCAGTAGTAAGTTCAGGACCAAAGACGTCACATTTTGCGCGCTTTCGGTACCGCGGGTTGTCCCCGTAGGTGGAGGAGGTTTTCGCGTCATCCGGTTAAAATATGACGCACTGATATTTAGTTACTCTCTCCATGCCTGCTGGCTTGCCCGAACCCCAAGAGACGTGGAAACCAAAATAAAAAAGGTAGACGCTTAAATATGATTGCAGGGCCCCTTCAAGGCACTATAGTGGGAAACCGATATTGAAACAAACTCGGTAAATGCTTTCCTATTCAGGAGAATATATGATTGTGTTGAAAAAGAAGCCTTGCTTAGCGAATTAATCTGGATGGTCGTTTATAGCTAGCGTTTCGTGTTTTCGGATAAATCTGAAAAACAGTTGCTGGTAAAATTTTGTTAATTTAGTATTTACCGTATTTACTCAAGTAATAGCCGCACTACTTATGAACAAGGCCACTGCGTCTGCTTTCCCGCAAAACATATATACCCAATCATCGCGTTGCGCATAAATTACATAGCGAATAACTAGATTGAGAACATGATTTTCCATACAAATGCAATCTTCACAGATGGTATCTTCGCACCAAGACGTTATCTCTGTCCCATAAACCGCTGGAATCATGCTGTCGATTGCGGTGATCGGCAATTCGCGTGCTCCGCGGAAAAGCAAACCCTCAGGTGTTCTTCATAATCATTGCGGCTATTACTCGATTAAATACGGTATGTGGAAAACTGAATTTGGAAGTTTCAACAGTAAAATAAAATGCACGATACGGTGTTATTCAAACAAATTTCATAGAAGCAGAGTGACAGTGGTCCTGAGAAGAGGCCGCTCCAGTTTCCCTTGAAATTTCGGAACTACTGAGAAAAAAAGGGTGTTTACCGTTTAGCTCGTCAATGGTACCTCTGGTTTACGATTAAAGCCATTGTTGAGAGAAAATATGGTATGGTTGCAGGCGAGCTGATATATATTAACCATGTTGAATTAACCGGAGGCTGGGTTACAAGAGAAACATCAAAACGTAGAAGGGACAGATAATTTTGAGATGTCTTCCTGTCTATTTTCTGTCTCTTCTGCGTTTTGATGTTTCTCTTCTACCCCAATTTCAGGATAATTCACCATTGTTTATGTTTCCTGTTTGGACCATACTCTTTGTGCTTCTTAGAGGAAGGAGGGATAGTGGTTTTAGAACAGTAAAAGCTATGAACCTATAGAATAATATAGAGTGGAACCTGAAGTTTCCATGCTCCCCAGTGACGATGTCCAGGAGTTTACTTATTTCAAAGTATTGAGGCAGCACTTTGCAATATTTGTCGTGGGATTTTTGAATTTTGAAAAATTGGAGACACGGTACAATTATACTCTGAATTTCAGAGAATTGGGAATCTAACAAAAATTTATAAGTTTAGAAAGAGTTATATACGTAAAGACGGGACGGGACGACACACAACAAAGATGTGTTGTCCCGTCCCCTGTCTTTACGTATATAACTCTTTCTAAACTTATATCATTACCAACGCGCTCACTAACAAGTATAACAAATGTTAATTCCAACAAACCCCAAAGTTTCAGCAAAAAATAAACTCCGAAAACACAAAATCCTATTTATATCCAATTACCATTTTTTTCAGAGGTACACGCAAAGCAATGGTCGACGGCCTTTCGGCATATCTGCCCTCATAGCAGGATTCGACTTTGATGGAACCCCAAGGTTGTTCCAGACAGATCCATCAGGTGTATACCATGAATGGAAGGTAAGGGTCAAAAACCACTTGTGCTGCTTTGTCTATGGCTTTTTACCTATGCCTTACACCTCCCATGCATTGGAGAGTCCCCAAAGTGACAAGAAAATGTGTCTTGGCAGCCGTGTAATGCTACGCGTTCTTGCAGTCCTGGCAGATGGTTTTAGAAATTCCGGTGAATGGAAGTAGCAGTCTGCTGGCATCCCAGCATGTTGCTTGTGTTTCTCTCCTCTGGCCAGCTGCAGTGGCACAGTCGCTCAATCCTCTCCCGCTCCTGCAGGAGCAGCATACCGATTCCGTCTGGTGAAGGCAATAGTTAACGCAGGCTTAATTAGCATAAGACCAAGTGTTCCACACGCTGGGTGCATGGAAGATGGGTATGAGGGAAATTGTGTCGGTATAGCTGTTGGCCACAGCACTTTTGCCTTTGTTTCTAACTTATAGTAGTCTTTTAACTGAAGTGAGCACACAATAGCCCTGCATCTTTGCTGCCCCCTTTGTCACTTTCTTGCCATGAGATGTTCCGTAACCAGGCACCTCAAAGCTTTCTTTGGACAGCAGCATGTGGTATTCCCGATCAAGGTTTCTTGCTGCATTCACTTTTCAGCACGGCCTACTACAGTTTTTAAGCAGTGTGTACCTCACAAGTTACATGAAAACCTAGACTGTTGAAATGGTACTAAAGAACAACAAATAAACTAGGCCACTCACACGAGCACCTATAAAAATTGTGGAGGGACAAGAGTGCCTCTAGTTTGGCTGCATTCACCATTTGAAGTGTGGGGCATAGGGAACACTCTTGTTGCTACGTCTTTAATCTCTCTGGAGGGTGCAAACCGGAAGCTTGAATTTATGGTCCGTGTTCGGGGGGTAGTGTGACAGCCACTACCTGAGGACTGCGGGGGAGAGGACGGCGGGGCGGGGCGGGGCGGGGCGGGGCGGGGCGGGGCGGGGCGGGGCGGGGCGGTGGCGGTGGCGCGACTCAAAGCTGAATGTTCTTGGTGGTCCTGTTTCACTTCAAATATTGATTCTCGGCACGGCCCCTCGGTCTCCAGTTATAAAAAATAACTTAAAACCTTAGGGAAGGTCATCTGATCTTAGCATAGTTTTTCCTCGAGCGCGGTACCGTCCAGACATCAAGATAGAGAATGGCATACAAAGTCCCTTTTTAATTGCGAAGAAGAAAGTGGAAGCAAATTACTATCTGGATTGTTCAGTTTTTTTGTATGCTAGGTAAAATTTAATCATAAAAACTTGTTCCATGAACAATACCTAATGTTTCAAATAACAGGGCTGTGGCTGTCATACCGGATTGCATAACAAGTTCAAAACGAATAACCCTTTTCTGCGATTCATAGACATGAATCTGAGCAGCAGTGCTGTTTCCCCGTACCAAGAGACTGTAATTGAAGTGAGCACAAAGCAGAGGTTATTATAAACAATAAAGACAGAGCACAGACGAGCATAATGTATTTGTATGCTTGAAAATTACAACTACAATCGTTATTAGCTTTCTATTATTTGGACAACTTCGTCCCACCGAATGAACTGGCTCCCTTCGTCGGTGCCTTGCCGTGAAATGTTTTGCAACCAGGCATCCCGAAGGTTTTCAAGACTAATCTGCAACATGGCCGCTGCAATATTTAGACACTGCGTGCCCTTTAATTCCCACGAAAACCCAGCCACTGTTAAAATAACTATGAAACGACCGAGAAATCGGGCTACTTACATGAGCACAAAACGCTGTGAAGAGCTAACAGCAGCTTGACCTTAGCCGTTTTCAATGCTTTCACCGTATCTATGGGTTTCATGGTTTCCACCCTCACTATCCGTCGCAGCAGACGGAAGAACTTCTCCCCCTCATGAGCGCTCTTGTTCACAAGAATCAGCATGCCGCTCCTGCAAGAGCGGGATGGAGATAGAGGGGCCGTGGGCGGTGCAAACTATAGGAGAACGTATATCTGTTGCATCTACCTCTGCTGCTGTGCCACCACCAAGATTTGATAAACATTGACCAACTCACCTGCACACATTATCATCTTGAAATCCCGAGGATTAGAAAGGGCCAGCACGACACAAAGCTGGCACAGTTGGCATGAATTTGTGTCCCTAATGTTTAATTGAGGTATATCCTCTTTGGTCTTCGCATTGTCTCACTGAATGTGATCACATCAAGCAAGAAACACCTATGGCATGCTGCACTTCCAAAAACGACCAGGTGATTGATCCTACTTTAGTTTTTACTACAGCATCTCAGTTGTGCAGCTTGTGATCCTTTGCAGCAGTGGTTTGTACATCAGCTAGCGACAGACTGCAGTCTTTGCAAAAAAAGTATTGCCCAGCTACTATTGCTGCCATCCATGCACATTAAGCAGTGGCCACGAAGGTGCACTTTACAAGCACGCTGCAATGGGCAGGCTGAACTGCTTGAAATTTCGCAAAACTTCTGTGTTGATGACTGAACTTCCATCTGACGTTTCTGTTAAGAAGGGTGGAACATTAGTGGCATCAGAGAAATTTTCCAACATAACCCCGATGAAAACTGCAAATTGACTCAATGACGTGATCTTTCTCTCCGAAACCAGGCAAATGCTACGGGACGCAGTGCCAAGACCGTGCGGGAATACCTGGAAAAAAATTATGCTGTTGACAAGATGCAGCCTGACGAAGGTGCCGTAAAACTGGCGATACGTGCCCTGCTTGAAGTCATTCAGGGTCACAACCTTGAAGTGGCTATCATGGAGCGGGGAAAGCCACTCAAGGCAAGTTGCACCAAAAGCAAACTGCTCTTGCATGTCCAACCCTGGGGCCAGACTATCGGTGCTGCCTTGGTTTTATGCAGACCTTGTGCTGCTCACAACCAGTTACTGCTATTGGGAAGGGGCTCCTTTCAAGTTCTTCTACTCTTCCAGATGCTAGAAACCCGGGAAATCGAGAAGTATGTGGAGGAGATTGAAAAGGAGAAGGAAGATGAGGCCGAGAAGAAGAAACAGAAGAAATGAGCTGCATCCTATACTGGTGGCAATTGTAACCTTAATCTTCCGATAATAAAATGACTTCGGTCCTTTGCATATATCTTACACAACTTATGGAATTCCTCTACTCCGAAAGGAAAGGGTGCAAGAAACGTGCAACTAGAAATGGATGAATGCAGCATGTGCTCGCCAAACCCACTCTTCAATGGTCTATTGAAGTGTTGATGTTAGCTATGCAGACTTTGCTGTTTATAGAACAGAAGCCAGTTCACAATGTTGGACCACTGCGACTGTAAGTGGTATGCATTGAATTCCATAGTTAAGAACTTATTCTTTACAGTGCAAACTTGGAATGAGCTCCTAGATGATGTCTGCCACGAATGAAAACATTGGTGAGCAATTCAGTGAGCTCGGCACAAGCAGACTAGTCGAATCTCGTTAATTCAAACTCTCTTAATTCATACTTGTGGATAATTCAAACTAACATGCAGGTCCCATCTTATGTGTCTCTATGGGGGGGGGAACTCCTGGCAATTGCAACTTTATTCAAACAATTCTTCGGTCCCCTCGAGTATAACGAAATTCGACTGCATTATAGCCAATAAATATCAACTGTGCATTTAATGAAAAAAAAAAAAAAATTATTTGTTGCATTTACGATACTGGCCTTCACAGCGTGCAGTTCTATTGCACGCATAGCTGTAGACAACAACAAGCTTTCAAAATATTACACATTGCCGCAAAACCTCTCCCATGAAGCATCAAATTTTTAAACCAAAAACATTTCTAACCTAGGGAGATGCTCTGCCAAGGGCAGGAGATCTAGCTTCAATGACTCTACAGTATTTTTCCGAACCAAAGGCGAGGTTTTACAACATGAAAGGCGCATTTGGCTATACACTCGCTGAGGGTCCTTATGTCGCCACGGCCATACAAGAACACATATGCTTTGGAGTACTGAAGACAATTCACCTTCAGTTGTTACATTTCAAGTTGTCATATGGAGATTTTAAAAATGCAAATGAGATGCCAGCAATGCAAGGCAGAGAAATGTGCCTATGCCTATACAGCAACTCGTAGCTCTGACGTGGCACAGCTGCAGTAGTGCTGCTGTTTCTGCGGGGCTAAAGCCCCTCTATCCTGGGAAAAGTGGTGCTATTCATTGTTGTTGAAATGCCTGAGACACGTGCCGCGCGCCACTTCTGGGAACACAATGTCTGAAATCTAGCTCAGTGCTGCGCTGTGCCGCCGTGATCTTCCCAAGAGCAGCACGTGCCTCGTGCATAGACGCACCTTGCGCTACTTTTGAAACATGTAGGGGCTTTACGTGGCGCACGTGCAGACGTATCACTTGACGCAGATATGCTTGTAAACAATGTGTAGGTCTCTGCTTATGGTCTGCCATGAACAGTACTTTTGACGGTGTGAAAGGAACCTGGTGAATGCTTCCTGTCATCACATGCTTAACCACAAAGCACAGATCACTTGACACAGATTGGTTCCTGCATACGTGCAGTGCCAACACCTGGTATGGGCAAATATGGACTTGTTTGTCAAAAGTAGGCTCGTTCAATTTACCTGGACCAGCCTGCACCAGTGAAGAAAAGTGTAACACAGTCCAGAAAAGTGCTGGGCAGTGTACCTCCGGTCATTTCGAGATAGGCTGCACTTGAAATTGAATATGACCGCACGCTCCGAGTGCAGCTCATGCAGGTAAATCGAACACAGAGAGTGTGTTGGTATGTTGAAATGTCCAGCAAAACTGGCACAGCCCCGTGGTGAGACTGAAGGAATGGGGAAAAAGAGGCATGTGGTAGGAGTTTCAAGTGAGGCAAGGCACTCGTCCAATCCTGGAGCATACGTGTTCAAGCGTCAATTGTAAAGCATCGTAAAGAGATGAGCTAGCTTAGAAAAGTTAACTCGATAGCTACTCAATAGCCTCGCTTGTCGAGTGGTGTATACTTTGCTAGTAATTCTAATGAAGCCATGAGCGCATATTTTTCTCCTTGCAGTGGCAGAAAACAAAGGCCCTCGTGCCTTGATTTAGAGTTCATCCTGGCAGTGCAAGCACCCCTACTCGCGGACAACTTTCTGTGGCATGTAGTAGTGAAGAGTGCACTCAAGTTGCACAAACGCTTGTCCACCCATAGCTTTGACTGCATAGCCACAGAAAGTTGCCCGCAATTACAGCCTTGGATGCACCAAAGCAAAACCGGGTGGTGCAACATGCTCCAGCCACACCAATAGAGCAGAATCTTCCGTTACAGCTGCAAGCCCATGTATAAAGAGCTTTCGCCGGCTGGATAGAACTTTGATTAACTAGATTTTAACATCACTGTCCACTCCTTCAGCTCTACATAAATCAACCCAAGCTTTAGCACAGATCCTGAATGCTTCACAATTCCTATTGAAATCATTTCTGAGGGCTATTGTCAATACAAACCCTTCAACTGGCAGCACTCAAACTATCTTACATGAAGTTTGACTGCATTTTAGTAACCCTTTCCAGTTATTCATTAAACTGGTCAGCATGGCTCTCAAATTGTGGGAAGTGAGCTGCGAGTTCATGAGCACACACAGGCATAAGTTTAAAAAGTCTGCGAATTGGCAATGTTGTGCAGACATGTCACACACACATCTGAGGTACCTTCAGCTAGGGATTGAGCCCTTGTGATGCATCGGACATTTGCATTTAAAAATACTCGGTGACCAGAAATATTTCAACAATTTATGCAAAACAGGTTAAGGGTTAGAGACAATTTCAGAAAAATCCAAGTCTCCGCGAATTTCACAATATGGCATGCACTATGCGACATACCTATTCAGTATGACTGAACACTAGTGCCAAAACTGGGCACTGTCACTAAAAAAAGTCAAACAAAAGCAATACTTGCAATTCTAACAGTCACAGCCTAGAACGGACCACATTTCAATAGGAAACCAATCTTTTCCTAAAAAAAAACTAAGAAGGCATATGAAACTTCTTGAAAAGTGCTCCATAGTATGAATACTTAGGAGCAACTCTCTCTCTGCACTACTATGGATATTCATACCATTCACACTGGCAAAGTTTACATGCAGTTAAAATGCCAAGTAATTCTCTTGCCCAGTCTCTCAATAAAGCATTTCCTCGTTTAGCTAACCCCAAAACAATCTTACACAGGCAGTCCTTCAAGGGTCAACACTAAGAGCCAGCATCAAGTGGATTAATCCATAATATTTTCAGATGACAAACTTCCATACACAGAAGTCAATACATATTTTCCTGTGCTCATAGAAAAAATACCCCTCCTCCATTTAACAAAAAATTAAGACCAAAATATCCAACCTTAATTATGGATCAGCTGCACCTGGAACTATTTTGTGCAGTAACAACTTTTCTGCACAAAATATTTATTTTGAAACTAGATCTTAGGTCAACACCTTGATATAGTATAGCCACCACTGTCGAAACATCAAGTAAGGACAAAGGAAACTGTCAATTTCCCCAAACCTTGATGCAGATTGTAACCTGTGTGAAGGCTTCAGGGGCATAATGACACTGTTTATTTTTGTGCTAGGAAGCTACACAACTGCAGCATTAGTAAGTATAACATTAAGGCGCGTTCACACTCTTGCAACCGAGTACGACCGAGAAAGACTTCTTGGGACCGGATGCACTGAGCGGAGCTGGTCCTAAGAGATCGCAAGAGGCTTAAAAACCGGTTTGGTCTCTCTCGGTCGCACTCGGTTGCAAGAGTGTGAACGGGCCTTTAGTCCAAATCAAGGCAGACAAGAGGTCGGTACATCGAGCTCCTTAACTGTGGATTGGTGGCAGTGGATTGTGTTTTCTGTGGACGTTTAGTGAAAAGGAGCAAAATGTACATTTATTACAAACCATGCATACAATCGCATCTTAAAAAAGCAAACAGAGTGGGGTTGTCTCCTGGGTCGTTATCAAAGAACCTGCGGCAGCTACTAAGAACCACGATACAGGCAGAACAGCAATTTCGTTTTTAACATCTTTCAGGCCGCTGCTGCTCCCATCTTCACGCCGTGTGGTGCAAGGCTAGCCGGAAGATGTCGTGCTCCACATAAAACGTCTCCCCCATGGGCTTCAGCACAAACACTTGGAGGAATGTGTGTGCCGGGTCGTCGTCAGTCTGTTCGGGACAAAGAAACGGGCATCACCGTTGCTGCACTCAACCAAGGCACACCAGTGGTGCTTACATGTTCATACTCTCCTAGTAGAAAGAAGAGTAAATGCAGACTGTTGGGCATTTCTGATGCACACAGCTCAATGGAGCTGGGCTACACCAAGTTATCAGAGGAGTGACGTATATATATATCTACACACACACAATATCCACTGGTGGCAGAATGAAGCTTGTGTACAACGCATTCCGCAGAATGCGGTCAGGTTACGGACCGCCTCCATTGCACACTTGATGCCTTTCCTGAAGGCGGGAATGTACAGTACAGGTAGAAGCCGGGATTGTGTTGTCTTTGACAGCAACGAATACATTCATTTATTCCATTCACCTCTCTCCCCAACCAGCGAAAGCTGCAAGTGCAAGCTTCGAAACTACAAGTATAGAGGAAGCACATTCAAAAGGTGTACGCCCCATGCTTTGAACATTCTCTCCATGCAGCGAGCTTAGAAAACAATATAGGTAAAGCCATATTACACAAGCTCCCAAAAAAGAGCCAAGTAGCACAAGCTGGCATGCATACTCATGAATGCATGAAAAATTTAAAATTTAAGAATGTATGGTATGAACACTGTTTTGAACATCATATGCACTTTTTAAGAGCACTTGCGATACTTCTCAAGCTCTAAAGTTGTTTTAAGTTAATAAAAAAAAAAAAAAAAAACCTAGGAACAGCATTCATGCAGCCTCTCCAATGCATAAAAAAAAAATGATTATTGAAATGTATACAATAAATGCAAGTAATAGAAACAGGGAAGCTGCATTGCCATCAACATAATCAATGACAGCACTCGTAGGGCACAAGCCTTCTTCACGTCCTGCAGAGGTCACATAGCGGTATACGACCTCTAAACATGCCCCTTCCCACAATATTTGCCGCTACGATTCTTTCTGAATGTATCCCTCCGCACTCTGAAATGGCACTGGCAGTCGGCGGTGATGCTGCAATCGCCATCATCTTGAACTATGAGCGAGCCCAAACTGAAATGGCCAAATTCAGTCTATACTAACTGCAGTTTGGAATGCTGTGTAACCGTGCAGAGCCGCAGTTATGCACAATTGCAGTTATGGCTGCTGGCAAAACAGGCATCTATGCCTCTTGGAAAAACGGAGGCTGCTACTCCGAGGCTTCTAGGAGGTTCCTTTTCACATTCTCACCAGCTTCTGACTACCTCATGTTTTTGTCTGCACTTCTAACAGGCAAGAGCAACGCAATGAACCTACACATTTTCTAGAGAATATACTAGCACCGCAGAGGGAACAATAATTATGATTGTAAACTTTCGATACAATAGTGCCAGTGTTGTCTTCCTAGTGCACACCAAAGGAAGAATGCAAGCACAAAAACATTGTACAGTCATAAAATTTATAAGAGGGAAGAAGCGAGCCCGTTTCAATACCAGAGCAGTCTGGCGAGGGCTGTGTGCAATGTCATGTGTGCAGCGCTGGCTCTTCAAAAATCGGAGGCACTCCTGGCTTGCATTTGTGCTTCATTTACTATGCTTGCTACAGACAGCGCGGGCTGCCTACCACAATAAAAATGCACACACAACTTTTGTGCCCTTGCCATGCTCCACAGGGCGATCAATGGGAATCTGATAGCGTTTTAGTGCCGTTAAACACTCGTCTTTTGTTTTAATAGAAAAAAAAAGTATAGTTATTCAAGAAACCATCTTGCTCGAGTTACTGAGCTATCATATAACCAAAGATTAGTGGACAAATTTTATGACTGGTTGGATTTATGAATGCAGACTGTAATTAAAACGCTACCAAATTTCCCCTGCTCGACACGTGCAGCAGGCAGTAGAGCAGTGGTTTCACGCATGCGCACCTTCATCACAGTAGGCACCCCGCATTATCGGCAGCAGGCGCAAAAAGAACAAAACAACAACACGCCTGCTTAAGTTAGTAGAGTCCCCGGTTTTTGAAGAGCCATCGCCACACATGTGACATTGTGCACAGTGCTCATTAGACTGCTCTACCTGTACCAAAAGACATGTGCCCACTTGTTCCCTCATAGATCTTGGGGCTGTATGTAGTCACAACCTTATGGGAACAGTCAATTTTCACAGACAGCCCGCGCATTACCAGAGAATTGTAGTATACCAAATGGGAGTCCTCCATCAGCTGCTTGGGATCACTCAATATAAGCAACAAAGGTTTGCAACTGAGATACAAGCAATGGTGCCTTGACAATATAAAACCAAATGCCATGGTTAAGCCAGCAATCTACTGTTCATGTAGTGTCGATAGAAACGCTAGATTACAAGCTTGTATCGAAAAGCAAGCATGCAAACTACACTCGCAAACAATGCTCTTGAAAGTAGGCACGAGTCAGCACTGCGAACCTTTCGACTCAACACTTGCGCTCCTTTTAAACTATGCAGTTGTACCATCGGGTACGAATGAAAGGCGAACAGCATAGCGCGAGACTTATGATACATGCTGCACTAACTAGAAACAACTAGGAACTAAGCAAACTGCAGGGTGGAAAGGGGAATGCAGGCGTGAGTGCCTACTCTGATGTGCACACCCTCATAGCCGCTCTCTGCACTCGGCAGTTTTATCAGTTCCTAGTTGCCACGTGCACCGCTGTTCGCATTCCCTTCCTACCCGATAGGACATGAAGGTAAATACCACATTCTAAAGGTCAGAAACATTGTTCAAAAGCCCAGCACTCGTGCACAGCCTCCATACCATAGATACAAGCACATCAAACAGAACAGACTGCATTATCAATTGGTGTATACCAGATACGCCAAAGAAGTTGCAAGAAAAATAACACGGGGATGCATTAGTATTTTTCAGACATTCACAAGGTTCAGGTTCACATTACTACTGAAAGGTCTAGAATGGAAAAATGCACTTCTCTTGACCACACAATGAATGCATCATAAAATCTTACCTTCAGTTGGCCTAAGACCGATATTAGGATACCACCATCAAACATTGGCTGACTGTCAATGACAGTACAGTGGTGGCAGATCTTCTGAAACCGAAGACCCTTTGAAAGAAATATTGTCAACATTAATGAACCGGTATTATCACAAGAACACGTGACAGTTGAGGTGTTAAAACGTCTTTACTGTGTAGATCGAAAACACTAAATGAAGCCCGCCATTTGTACTTTGCTTGCACTGTCAGTCACATCAGCATACATTGCGGCTAAAAAAGTGCATTAATTCAAATCGCACGTGTCGACTTACCTGAATTTTTTCCATGATTTTCGTACGGCCAAATATTTGCTCCCCCTCAAACGTCATCAAAGACTTCTCTTCCTGAAACGGACAATGCGAAGTTAAGAGTCAAAATATGAGAACACTAGCCCACTATGCCAGCTTCGGGCGTAAACCAAATGTTGGAATTCCGTAATGGTGCCAAGAAGTTGGTTGTTCGTGAAACCGGGAATATCGCCGCAACAACGTGCCGACGTTCACGTGATACAAAATACCGTAACTCAACGAATTTTAGGTTGGTGGTACCAACTCCTTCCCGTGCATATAAGACGCTTAACATTACTACTGGTATTTACTCACTTATTTTTAAAATTAGAGCTCGTAAGACTAAAAAAAAACAACAAAACGGAATAGCTTACATTGTAGAACGTCAGGAGGTTTTGTCTCAAATTCGGATCGTCGAACATGGCGTAGTACTGTTGTATGAACGTCTTCCCAATTGTATCATACTGCGGGTTTAACGACATTGCCATCTTTTGGTTATTTCTACTAAAGGCCTGAGACCAGTGGTCCACAGAACTCAGAAATAAATAACCGCTGCCCACTAGGCTTAGCAGAGGTTGAGAAGCCCACTCGCTCCCCCACAGTGTTGCTGGTGTTGCTACGTTGCTACCTCATGGCTGGCGGAACAGTCATGCTTAAAAATATCTGCTGCACTAGAGAAAACAAAAAAAGAAAGCATTACTCCGATATACGCTAAATATGTTTTAAACTTTTAAAGCTACGTTAATACCACATTGGGCATGTCAAATATATTACAAATGTCACGCAAAGTTCCAAGATCACGACCATCACGACCCTCACGCCCCAAAGGCTCACGTTGCTCCACTCGAAAACCTACCCAACCCTACCCAACCCAACCTACTCGCCGATTTACCGTTGGCTTTACCTGGCTCTACCCGTCGCTAGGGTGGCTAGGGTTGCTGGGGTTTCCCGTCGGTCGCACAAAACGCCACAGCCGCCACAGCGAATCGAAGGCGCCTTTGAACCAAAACCGAAATTATAGCGCATCAACCCACTCCGCGAGTGCGGCCACCGGATGGCCATCCTGCATGCAGTGAAATCGCGTTTTCGCTAGCGTTGAAGAATCTGAGAGCAGCGTAGCCAGCCTATCACGCTCAAACCTGCCTCAAATGGGGAACGATGGAAAAGTTAAATGTGTCCAAGGCGCTTGCATCTTAGTGGATCTCTGTTTTCGTACAGCGCGCACAAATTATTGTGTGCTAAACTCACAGGATATGATGGTGTCATCGTCAATCGGGAAAAGAGAGAAACGACGCCCATGAGTGGATCAAACACTGGAATTATATATTTACAAGAAGGAAGATAGGAACGTGTCAGAAGCAAAACAATAGGCAAAGAATTAGCAATAAGAAAAGCAAAACACTGAAGGCAGATAAAGTCACGTCAATACACTCATAGCCCGTTCCCGCTACAGTCCTTGCCTCAAGTACAAGTCTTTCCCCGGTGCCTTGCGGAGCGTCGCCGCTTGCTGTGATGATGCGGAAACCGGTGTCTCGTGCTCCCCCTGGAGTTGCTCGTAGCAGGCGTCGCCGTCCGTAGCGGCTGGTCCTCCCTCCGAGCTCTGGTCGTCGCCGTGCGTCGCGGCCCGACCCTGGCTTTCACTGCCGCTTCTCCTCTCGCGCCCGCCGTTCTCTTCTCGTGCTCGCCGTTCTCTGCTCGCGCTCGCCGTTCTCTGGAACGCGCTCGTTCCCTTCCGCTTCTTTTCTTCTTCCACCCGTAATAATCGTCACAGGCACGTGACACACCCCCCTCACTTCGAGAACTTCACGACATGAAGTTTCTTCACGAAGGCGACCTCCTCGATGGCTTGCTGTAGTGACCGCGGCACATTCACAAATACCACCACACTTGGTCCTTAGCACTCACGCACGTATGCCGTTTCCACATCCCAAAAATTAGTATCGCCCAAATCACGAAAACGAACCGTGGTTACACTCTCGCGTCCCTAATTGCCCGTACAAATCACCTGGGCAACACAATCTTGTCCATACCTAATTCAACAAAAACGAAAAAAAAAAAAATCCTAATGGGTCTCATTAACCCTGTGTCCTGCCTTTACGAACAAATATCCCCCGACGGCTTAGCTCTCTAGACGACTTAAGAAGTCTGCTCCAACATTGTCTTTCCCCTTAATGTATTCGATGTGAAAGTCCTGTTCCTGCAATGACAAACTCCATCGCATTATGCGACTGTTGGAGTGCTTCGCTTTGTTCAAAAACTCCAAAGCTCGGTGATCCGTTTGTATGCGAAATTTTCTGCCATATAAGAACAACCTAAATCGCTCCACGGCCCAAACAATCGCCAGACACTCTTTCTCTACGGTGGCGTAATTCTTCTCCGATTTTCCCAGTGTTCTGCTTGCATATCCCACTGGATGCAGCAGTCCTTCACTTTCCTGGAGCAATACTGCGCCCAGGCATGCATCAGATGCATCCATCCTCAAAACGAATTCCTTGTCGGGATCTGGCGCCAACAGGATAGGTGGTCTCGATAAGCAGTCCTTCAGTCTCTCGAACGACTCCTCCTGTGCTGACCCCCATTCAACTTGATTTCGTTCTCCTCTCTTCGTGAGCTCCAGCAGTGGTGTAGCAAGATCCGCGTAGTTTGGAACGAAATCGCGGTAATAGCCGGTCAGCCCGAGAAACGACTTCACTTGACGTTTTGTCACCGGCCTTGGCGCGTCTTGTATCCTTCCAAGGATCTCCGTTTGGGGTGCGACTCGTCCTCCGCCCAACTCATGACCGAGGAAGGTCGTCTTTGTAAATGCGATCTCGCATTTCTTCGGCCGAGCCGTGATGTTAGCTTCTTGCAACCGATCAAAAACTGTCTGCAACGTTCTTATGTGTTGCGTCCACGTATCCGAGGCGATGAGAATGTCATCGATGTAATGATGAGCCTCCGGAATTCCATGAAGCAACTTTCTCATCAGTCTGGTGAAGGTAGCAGAGGCAGTCTTGAGCCCGAAAGGCATGAAACTAAAATGGTAAAGTCCGCTACTCGACGAGAACGCTGTCTTCTCCTTGGCCAAATCCTCCATCGGGATCTGCCAGTATCCCTTCGCTAGATCCAGCTTAGAGAAAAATTTCTTACGGCCCACCTTAGCGAAGGTGACGTCCGCCCTTGGAATCGGCTCTGCGTCATCCTTAAGCACGTCGTTTAACTTCCTGCAATCAACGCAAAGCCTGTTAGAACCGTCTTTCTTTTTAACAGTTACAACCGGCGCACTATACGGTGACATGCACCGTTCAATAACGCCCAGTCGGAGCATTTCCGAAATCTCCTTTTCGACTGTCTCTTGGACGGAAAATGGCAACGCATGTCGCCTTATCCGCACAGGCTCTTCGGTTGCCCGAACTCGCCGTTGGGTTGATCGGCCCGATGATGCCGATCGACACTCTCTTGAATGGTGTCTCGATGGCCGGCATTGTCCCTAGAGGCGCTTTGCCTACTCTGCCTTTTGGCACCGTGCGCTTGCATACATCGCAGGAACGCACGTACCTCTTGATGTCACTCTGCATGCCCGGCCAAAAGAACTCTTCAGCCGTTAACGCGAGCGTGTTCTTCATGCCTCGGTGGCCTGACATGATACCATCGTGTGCCATTGCCATAACAGTTGGTCGAAATCTTGCTGGGAGAGCCAGCTGCTCTATACTCCTCCCGGTGGAAAATATACAGTTCCGAAAAAGCAGGTTGTTCTTTATCACCATTTCATACTTCGTACGACACTTGTGTTTCTTTACCACCTTTCCGACCTCGTCGAAACATTTCCTTAAGGACGCATCGTTCCTTTGTTCTGTCGAAAGCTTCTCGACTGTCGTTTCGAGAATCGGTACCTGTGGCACATTCAGTGGAGGTTCCGATTTGTTCCCGCTCTTATTCTTCCTCGACTCTCCCACTCCCGCGGTACTTGAAGGCGGAGTTATCACTCCCAAGTCCGTGTTTTCCGAGTCGTACGGAGAGGCCTCTTTGCGGTCCTTCCTCTCTGGTACCTCGGCTCTCATGTCCAGCTGGTGGCCAACTCCCTGGCAGTAGGTGTCTTCATCTCGTCACTTCGTTGTTGATCGGAATCCCAATATGGGTTCGGATCGTTGGGATCTCTCACTTGTGGAACGTTGCCAAGCACTAAGTCGTATAGGGGATCGTCAATGCACTTCGCCACGACTTTTCCTGCCAGAAAGGGTGTGTTGATCACAATTTCCGCCTCAGGTAAGTTGTTCGGTCCAGTAAATATACAGGACTACAGTTTCCAGTGTAGCACCCAACGGGCACTAAGTTCTTTCTTACGACTACTGTATTGCAGCCGGTGTCCCGAAGCACCGTAACTTTTCTCTCGCCAATGCGGCCTTCGACCACAGGCATATTCTCCACCAGAAACTTGGGTGGCCTCCCTACAGCTGCGTTAACCACTGGTATTTTGTCGCCGTTCTTTAACGTAAGGTAGGCCTCATCTGGTTCGCCTGCCGTTTCGTCGGAGGCTGTCCACAGGCAAGAAGCTTGTGGTTTATCGCCAGCCCTCATAGTGCATTTGTCGGCCTTGTGTCCCATCCGGCCGCGCAGTGCCAACATGTCGATGGTTTGTATTGTTGATTGCGACCATTGCAGTTCTCGGCTTTGTGTCCTACCTTATTGCATAAAAAGCATCGGAGGATCCTCCGTGTGTCCTCTCTGAGTGCTTTAGGGACTGTACTTGCACTGGTTTTCGGGTCTTGTCCCTCTACCTTCGCTTTTAAAGCGCTCGGCTGAGTCTGTGCTTCCAGAAAGACGTCGGCTTTTTCAGCCAAATCATCTAGGGTCAAGCAGACTCTTTCTTTGAGAAAGACCATCAACTTACTAGCGCAAGTCGTCATGAACTGCTCCATTAGCATTCTGTCCCGGAGCGCCTCGAAAGTCTTCTCGACTCCTGCCACTTCGATCCACCTATCGAAATACCCCGTCAACCTGGCTGCAAACTGTTTTCTTGTTTCCCCATCTCCGGGCTTCGCCTCACGAAATCTTTCGCGATAACCTTCTTTTGTATACCGGAATCTTTGAAGCAGCGCCAGTTTCATCTTTGTATAATCCATCGCATCCGCAGGGGTCATGCGACCGACCACCGTCAGGGCTTCTCCTGTGAGACAAAGACTTAAAGTGGTTGCCCACTTGTCTTGTGGCCATCCGAGGCCTGTGGCCGTACGCTCAAACCTCTGCAAATACGCGTCGAGGTCGTCGCGTCTCTCATTATACTGCGGTATCAGTTTGTGTGGACTGGCGCTATGACTTGGTCCAGTCGAACCGCCTTCTCCTCTTTCCCCTCGCGCTTCGCGATTTCCTCTTTCCTGGGCCGCGATTCTGAGTTGTAGAACTTCCCGCTCCTTATCCAGTCGGACACATTCCGCTTGACATGCGCGTTCTTGCGCCGCGCGCTCTTCTCTTGCCGCCTCCCGTGCCTGCAGCCTTTCCTCTCTTTGAATATTTTTCTCCCTCTCAACCCAGACCTTCAGCTCCTCTCCAGTGTATCCTAGTTCCCTCCCAGCCGCCATCAATTTATCAATCTCTACAACCCCGGACCCAGTCATGGTCGCGAACTCTCTCCTCCGGACCAACGAGATCAGGCTAGTGGATTAATGGAATCC